ATGGACTGACACAATGACTGCAACAGTGGGCTCTAGTGTGTCAGAGATGATGAAGATGGCATAGAATAGGGCAGGGTTCAGATCTATTGTTCATAGGGTCACTATGTATCGTCCTCAACTGGACTGAACCTAACAACAATAACATGTGTGGAAGTTTTACTCCATCCAAATCATTAAAGTAGACTTTTCTGTGAGGAGGCTGCTCTTCCCCAGTGGCATTTGAGTGCTTTCCAACCTGAGAAGCTCATCTTCTGGCACTATGATACATAATGCTCTGACATAATTTGTAAGGTTTTTCAAGGGACTGTTATTCCAGGAGTGGAGGACCAATCCTGCTTTTGAGTCTGTCTTAGTCTGGAAGCTCCACTGCAACCTGTTCACCATGGTTCACCCCGCTGTTATTTGAACTGCAGGTGGCATAGCTTCTAACATCAAAGCAACATGAAAACCACCACAATATGGCAAACTGACTGACCAAATAGTGGTGGTGCTGTGTATATTATAACTGTAAACACGCACATAGGGATAGAGAGAAGAATAAAAATGATGGACTGAGAGAGATGTAGAGATATTTCTTTCAAGGAGATAGCTCATGTGTTGCAAAGGCTGTGAAGTTTCAGGTCTATGGATTAGACCTTAAGAGAGAGGATCTGGGGAGGGTAATAAGTTTAGGTTGTTGGGAGTCATAGTTTCAAATTTCTGGTTTTGGAGATTTCAGGCTTCAGGGTTGAGAAGTTCAAACATCACTGGGTTGCAAAGTCCAAGTATTATGGATAGGAAGCTTTGGAGGCTGAAGAATCCAAAATCAGTCCATCAGGGTCAAAAGACTGCAGGGTCACATTTGAAGGTCCCAAGTCTGATGCAAGATTAGACAAAAAGCTATCAAGTCTTTCTTGAGAGTCTATACATATACCCTTGAGGAGAGTTCTCCTTCATCAGATCAGGCTATTGAGATATTTATAGAAGATCCTCTAACTCTGTTTCATTAACATCATAGAGGTTAGGTTTTCTAGTATATCGGATGCTTATCTTATATTGAAGATCATGGCTGTCATGGTCCTGTTAACACACAGCATTTATCATCACATGTGGTTAATTGCCTCTGTGAACAATTGCCTCCTTCTTCATGAGACCAGAAGTGGATGTTGCCAGGTTACCATTGTTGTTATTGTTGTTGGTTGGTGCCAATGCATCGAGGATGACCTACAATGATCCCATGAACAACAGACCTGAATCCTGTCCTATCCTGGGCCAACCTCACCATCTCTGATAAACTTGAGTCCACTGCTGAAGTCACTGTGTCAATCCATCTCAGTAGGAGTCTTCCTCACGGGAAAAAAGAAAAAAGGTTACCATTACAGAATTATTATTATTTTTTTATAATAATGACTCATTGTGGTTTTGGTGAAGGTTTACATAGCAGTTTAGGCTCCTGTTAACAATTTCTATACAAACTGTTCACTCAAACTGGTTACATTTTTCAGAATGTATGAACATTTCATTATTTTCATTCTGGTTGCTTCATTTCCATTCATCTAATTTTCCTGCCCTCTCAAATTCTCATCTTTGCTGAACATCTTGACAGAGATTCTATAGAACAATCCTGATCAAAAGGGGGAAAGTAGAACAGAATTTCAAATTCTCATGGAATATAGATTTTTTTTGGAGCCATGTAGGCTGGATGAACCTCCAAAATGAGTGCTGAATTAATCTTTAAACCTTAATCCAAAAATATACCCTGAAGTCTTCCTATGAGTAAACAATAGTTTTACCGTTAGTAGTAAAGAATGTTTTTCTTGAGCATTGTGCTCTTTTAAAATCTAAGAATCTGGGAGGGGGAGGCGGCGCTGGGCAGGGAGAGAAGTGCAGCAACAAATGAATGGAAATCCAAAATATCTGTAAATGTTCATTAAAATTATTTAAAAAATCCATGTTATAAAATAAAAGATATACAGCCTTAAAAAAAAAATCTAAGAATCCCTGGCAATTTATTGACTCTTAAAGCCTGGTGGAGGGTCAGCTATGGGTTGTTTCTGACTCCACAGTACAAAACAACAACAATATGGTATCAGGGAGCTCTGGTTGGCTTAGAGGTAAGGAGTTGCACTGCCAACTAAAAACCACTTGGTTCAAATCTACTAGTTGCTGTGAGGGAGGGAGAAAGATGGACAGTCTCCTCCTGCGCTATTTACAGTCTCTGAAAAGTCAGTTCCAACTTCATCGTAAATAACAACACAATATGGTATCAGGGCGCTATCGTGGTCTAGTATCTGTGTCTCTGGCAGTTTGAATTCAGCTGCTCTGAGGGAACATGATGGACAGTCTCCTCTCCTTAAAATTTACAGCCTCAGAAACATGGAGTTTCACTGTGTTGAAACTGACTTGATGACAATATTTCATTGTAGTGTTGCTTTGTTTTTTTAAAAAATATGGTATCAAATTGACTAATTTGAAAGATTACACAGTAAACTTAGTGATTTTATGTTAGTAGAAGAGGTTTCCTAATAGGAGGTTAAGAATGGCTGTACAAATTGAAGACTGAAATAATCAAAGTTACTGAATTGTATATGTAGAAATTACTGACTTGGTGTATGTTCGGCTGTATATTTTCAACAATGATAATAACAAAACGGAAAAAAAACAAACCCCAACAACCCCTCTGGGAGTTCTGGTGGCCTAGTAACAAGAAGCTGCACTGCAATCTCGAAGGCGCACCAATCGAATCCACCAGATGCTCCACTGGAAAAGGAGGGGCAATCTCTTCCTGTGCCAGTCGGATTTGACTCAGCAGCGCACAACAAGGGGACAAAAAATTTAAAACAAACAAACAAAAAACTCCTCGGTACAATAATATTTAAAATAATACAAGAGGAAAATGAAAACCACCTTTATATTTTCTCAAATTGGTCTCAAGCTATTTTTGAGCAACTTTTCTCAAGACACTTTTGCTTAACTTTTCTTTTCTTTGCTTTAAAACAAGCTACTACTCTAAAGAGTTTCAATATATTGTTTTTAGATCAAATACAAACATTTACACCTGCCAGAAATGTTTCACAATATATATTTGGCCTCTATGAAAAGCATAAAACTGCTAGAAGTTCTAGTTTATTTTCAAATTCTGTGACTAGCTTCCAATAATTCTTTAACAGCAGTAATGTCAAAACAGCAGATGTTTAAAATTATATTTAATATTTTGCCATAGGCATGAGACTGTATTTGACAGCTTCCCATTACCAGCTTCCTAATAAATCAATATTGTTTTCCTGTCAAACATTCTTCTGGGTGGTATAGCACTCGTCTATGCGTTGCTGTACAGAGGTAACTCGTGGTTGCTGTGATGCTGAAGACTGTGACCGTGATGTGCCAATCGTGGTAACGGGTACCCACGGTGGACAGTGTTGGCTGAAGCTTCCGGACTAAAACAAGCCTGCAAGCAGGAGCGGCATCCACTTCCGAAATGGCTTGCCTCCGGAAACTCTATGTACAACAGTGCTCAGGCTGTTGGTTCATAGGGTCGCTATGAGTTGTCTACGACTCACGGCACCAAACAACAACAACAACAATAAACCAATATGAAACCCAGAGAACATGAGGTAATGAAATCTATCTATGACTATATTTTTAAATACTAATGTTTATGCCTTTAAAATATTGACAGTATGATTTTTTTGTGGCTGTTCTTTAAAATAATTTGAGACCATAAACAACCTAAATTAAAAAAAAATAAAATAAAAAAAAATAATTTGAGACCTTGGAGGTCCACACTTTTTCAACTCTCTAAACAACAATAACAAAAAAAAATCCAGGTCATAAGAAGATCTGAATTACATGCTTGCTAAAATCAAAAGATTGTAATAAAGGAAATCAGATGGAACTTGAGACAGTTTCTTTGACAATATAGGGAAGTTTCAGTGAATGTCCAATTTACAGATCACTTACTTGCCCTTTAAGAACACTCGTCTTAACTTTGAAATGATAGATTCAGTGCTTGCACAAAAAAAACTTCATTGAAAACATTTCCCTTTACTGCTCGTGCAGCTTTCAAATCAATGAAAAGGCTTCTTACACTAAAGTCTTAAACGACCCAAACCAAACCCACAGCCATAGAGTCCCTGCTGACTTAGTGACCCTGTAGTTTTACTCTCTAAAAGTTATCTCGCTTTACCCGAGTCCATACATATATGGCTATAAATCTTCACAGAGGCAGAGCGCCTCAGCTTTCTCTCACTGGAGCGGATGGATAGATTCGAATTCTACTTGAGTTGGTTAGCATCTAAGAAACCAACCATCTCATCTTAATCCACTGTGCCACCAAAGCGCCTTTTCCTCTGTGCGCCCGATCCCCCAAGTAGGGCTAAATAAGACCCTTAATAGGGATGCTGTTAGCAGAGGCTATTTCTTGGAGAGGGACATCATACTTGGGAAGGTGGAGGGACAGCGAAAGAGGGAGAGATCCTCCACCAGGTGTACTGACACAGAGACTGTAGCATAGGACAGGGATATGGGTTGTACTCGACTTGGGCACCTCTCACAACACACCAATAAGAACTTGGGTTTATTGTGTCTGGCTTTGAGTTTTCCTTTGCACGAACATAGGGTCAAACAAACACACCTTTTCCGGCTTATACCACAGGAGCTGGCACCGGTACTGAGATTGATTAAGGAGGCCTCTTTCATTTTGATTTTCCTATTGGTTAGACTCACCATCAATCGCACCATGTGTAAATAAACTGGATGCGGAAGCATGTTGTTAAGGGGTGGGACCTTCCTGTTGCCATTGCTTACGTAAGTGCGTTTTCTAATAGGCTGAAAGGCACTTCTCCCGCCCACTCCATCAGTTGCCAAGGCGCCGGATTCATAGAATCCTTGAAGGCCTGAAGCTCCGCCCATCCGATTGGTTGTTAGGGGGAGGGCTTTGTAGCTGATAGGTTGTTGGCCCTGCCTGTTAAAGATTAGTTGCTGGTGAAAGGCACGTGAGGAGGCGGTGGCTTGAAGAGATGATGGCGGGAGGAATGAAAGTGGCGGTCTCTTTGGCAGTTGGTCCGGCACTCTGGGGCTTGGAATTTGGGGGCAGCGGGGCAGTTCGGCTGCTTCTGGTCCTCTCCGGTTGCTTGGTCTGCGGCGCAGGTACCGCCAGGGCAGCAGCAGCCAACTGGGAGGGTTCTTAGTCGGTTATTTTTAGAAAAGTGGTGATTGTCCCGCGGGCGTGGTCCGTTATTCGTTTGAGGGGCGCGTGCTAAGCGCGGAGTAGGAAGCTTCGTCATCGTTGAATGGACATTAGGATTTAGGGTCAGGGTCCATGGGCTGCAGCAAAATACTGGCTGTGGGGAGTCCGGACGTGGAACCTAGTCTGGAGCTTAGTGGGAGGCCTAGTCTGGGCGTTAAGATGATGCAGGGTCTGCGTAGCCCTCGGGAATGCCTATTTAAAAGGAAGTGACTCTGAAGAGCATCCTGGCCCTTTGTGCTAGGAAAAGGGAGAATCCCATTCTCTCAGCAAATTATTCAACAACGTAAATTCCTTTAGGTCAGGTCCAAAGTACAGAGGGCGGAGCAGATTATTCTAGTTGACAGATATTGAATATTTTCTGTATACATTCTGCTTTACCTGCGAAATAGAAAGGACCCTGAAATAATGAAATTCCTGTGTCAGAAAAAAAAAAAAACCCAAACAAGAAATACAAGTTCCATTTAGCATAGACTAGGTTTCTTAAGGCAAAACGACATTATACCTGTTCTAGGTTTTGGAATGGGAAATTGTTTCCCTTTTCTGCTCTTTAATTCCGGAAGACCTATTGCATGCATGTGAAGATGTCTTCCTTCATTATTGTCAAAAGCTACTTACTCATTCACTCATTGCTATCGAGCCAGAACCCACTCATAGCTGCTGACCCTCCAGCAGATTTTCAGAGACTGGAAATCGAGTGAGAGGAGATTGTTCATCTTTCTTTCCCTTGCAGAAACAGCTATTGAGCTCACACCCCTTGTCTTTGGGTTAGAAGCACAACTCCTTAACCACCAGGCCTCCAGAACTTCCTGCTCTTAACACAATTATAAGTGAAGCTTCCATGTTTCCTCTGGAGGGAGTTGAAACTCTCTTATCTTGCAAAGCCATGCTGTTTGCTTTTACCTCTCCCTTTGGTTGACGCCTCTTTCATGCTGTCACTTGTTTTATCTTTAGCTGCAGCTTTCAGATGGCCTCACCATCCCCTAATGTAGTTTCAAAGCACAATGTCCTTCTAAAAATTCAAACAATTTTGTTTTACAAGGAGAGGAGAAAGTATCCAAGGAAGGCAATCTTCAGAGACAGGGCCCAGAGAAACAAGTGAAGAGCTATTTATTGTCAGGATGAATGTGTATCAAATGGTTAACTTCTTAAAATGAAGCCAGCAATTTGAGGATTATAGGGGTGAAATGAGAACATACGTACAAAAAACATTGGCATATAGTAAATGCAAAATCAAATCTCTCTGGTTTGTCTAAAGAAGAGAGCAGCAGAGGCTTCTTGACTTGAAGAAAGGTAAACTCAGGAGATGGTATTTTGTTGTGTGATCTGATAGATCATAATGGTGGCAGCTACAAAGAAACAATCATAGAGAAGAACTTAAAAAGGCAGAGGTGCCCAAAAGTAATGATTGGAGTAGCTCAAAAGATAGCCGTTTCCTCCTTGCTGCAGGTGTAAACGCTAGATTACAAAAGTAACATGTTTTAGGTTATTTAGAAACTGTAGCTAAGTATAAAGAAGTCTGGCTCAATATAGATTCAGAGATAGTCCATTTTGGCACATTTTATTTTGGTCTTTTTTCATGTTTTTAATGAAAAAAAAATTTAGATTGACAATGTACTTAGATGCCTGTCAGCAATTTACTTCCTTCCCTGGAAGCCACCAGTTGTTACCAGGAATAGTTTTTCTCACTTAATTTTCTAGTGTAAGAATTTCCTTAAGCTGTTTAAACTTCTTCATAATTACTATTTTTATTATGTTACATTATATGGGTAGACTATTATTTATATAATATTAGCATTTTTGAGAATGTTTGTCCTGTCTCTGGTTTTTCCCTGAATATTTGTAATGTTTCTAATTTTTCACCGTTGTATTTTGTGAACTTTTTTGTGTATAACTGTTTTGTTGTAATTGGAGTTTTTCCAGCTAGAATCTCAGAAAAGTGAATCAAATTATTACATCAAAAAGAAAACTATGTTTGAGACCCTTGGAGCATCTTGTTGATGTGCTTTTCTGAAAAGGTGTGCCGGTTGATACAACAAGCAGTGTTTGACTGCATGTGGCCTATGCTGTTAATATTATTATTGTTAAGTTCTATCAAGTTGGAACTGACTTATAACTGAACCTTGAGCAGATTTTCAGAGGTAATAAATTGCACAGGAGGAGGTTGCCCATCTTGTGGAGCAGCTGGTGAATTTGAACCACTTGCTTTCAAGTTGGCCGTGCAGCACCTTCACATTGGTAGTGGTAGTGTTTTGGCTTTCACAGAGTCAAAACTGACCCACAGCTCACCCCCAGTGAGTTTTTAGAGGCAGTGACTCTCACTGAAGAAGATTGTCCATCCTTCTCCCATGGAGCAGCAGGTGGTTTTGAGCCTGGAGCCTTTTGGAATTGCAGGGCAGTTTCTTACCAGAAGGCTACAAGGAGCTCCCTGTTGTTACTGGGTACCTTCAAGTCAGTTCTCAAAGCAACCATATATGCAACAAAAGAAAACATTGCCCTGTCCTGCCCCATTCTCCTTTTGAACTCATTGTTGCAGCCTGGGTGTCTGTCCATTTTGTTGAGGGTCCTTCTCTTTTTCTCTGACTTATTTTTTTTCTTTACCAGACATGATATTCTTTTCCAGTATTTGTCCCTCCTGATAACATGTACCATCCTTGCTTCTAAGTATTCAGCTATACTTCTTCCAAGACAGATTTGTTCTGTCTCCTGGCAACCTATGATATTCTTTACCAACGCTATAATTCAAAGACATTTATTTTTTTTCTTAATCATTGTCCAGCTTTTACAGGCCTATGAGGCAATTGAAAAACACCATGCTTAGTTGAGGTGTATCAAAGTACACCCTTTTAACACTTAAAAGAAGTTTTTGGTTTTTTTTTTTTTTTTAAATTATGGTGAGAAAAATTTGTATTTAGAATTAGCCAGCTGGACTGAGTTTAGATGATCACTATTTTGTTGGCAACATCCAAAGCATCATAGTCAAGATCAGGTCAAACAGATCTTCTCGCCATCAGGCCTAATCAAAGTGTTGACTTTAGCCACATCAGTGTCATAGAGCTTCTTTACAGCTTTTTAAATTTGGTGTTTGTTGGCTTTGACATCCACAGTGAACACAAGTATGTTGTTATCTTCTTCATGGTTGACTCATTGATCAGGGGAAATTTGATGATGACATAGTGGTCAAGATTGTTTCTTCGGGGGTGCTCTTCTGGGGATATTTGGGCTACCCTTGGAATCTCAGCATCTTAGGCCACCAGAAGGTGGGTGATGTGTGGATCTTTTTGTTTTGTTTTGGCTGTGGATGCCCTTCAGGACTGCCTTCTTGGCATTTAGTGACTTTGCTTTGGCTTCAGTTTTGGGAGGGGCAGGGGCTTCCTTCTTCAGTTTCGGTGCCATTTTCATTGTTGTTAAGTGCCGTTGAGTTGCAGGCGACTCATATGAAGGAGAGTCCTCGACGCTTGGGTGTCTTTAATCCTCTCTCCAGGTTCATAGGGTTTCCGGAGGCAAGCTAGTATGGAAGTGGATGCCACTCCTCCTTCCAAGCTTGTTTTAATCAGGGAGCTCCACCCCACTCTCTGTCCGCATTGGGTAATCAGTCATTAATGCATTTGACACATCAGTGTCACAGTGTTCAGCCTCACGGCAACCACAAGTTACAGCTGTACAGCAACTTGTACACCAGGGCTATGCGACCTAGAGGAATGTCTGAACAAAAACAATGAAAGGTCCGAGGGCTGCAGATTAAAAGTCACCCACCTTTGACTTGGTAGCATCGCTTTCTGTCCACTGGGTCAGCTGATCTCTATATGTTGATGTTATTGTTGTTAAGTGCCTAGAGTCGCAGGCGACTCATAGCAACCCTATGGAGGAGAGTCCTCAACACTTGGGTGTCTTTCATCCTCTCTCCAGGTTTCGCATTAGCACAATCAAATGTTCTGGGATTCCCATTCTTCTCAGAGTCAGCCACAGCTTGTTGTGATCCACACAGTCAAAAGCCTTTAGATAGTCAATGAAACACAGATCGACATTCTGGTATTCCCTGCTTTCTGCCAAGATCCATCTAACATTAGCTATAATATCCCTGGTACCATGACCTCTTCTAATCCAGTCTACACATCTGGCAGTTCTCTGTTGACATATTATTCCAAACATTTTTGGTAATTTTCAGCAGAATCTTGCTTACTTGTGATTTCAGCAGATCTTTTCTGAGGCAGTACATTATTTAATTTCTTGCCTGCTGCTCTCAAGGGTGTTGATTATGGCTCTAAGTCGAATGGAATCTTCACTATTAAGCCCATTAATCATGTTTTTAATTGATCTCATTATGAGCTGTTTTTTTTTTCCTTTAATGTTGAGTTATAACTCAAAGGCTTTATTTGTTGATCTTTATAAGTAAATGAATCAAGTCTTCCCTCTTGGAAAGTAAAGTTGTGTCATCTGCATGTTGCAGGTTGTTAATGAGTCTTCCTCTTATTCTGGTCCCATATTTTTCATAAAGTCCAGTTTGCAGATTAGCATACAGCTTGTTAACCCAGCTGAGCTTCTTCTTTGCATACAGATTGAGTAAATATGGTGAAGGATACAACCCTGACCCACACCTTTCTATTAACATTTTTCACTAATGAGAAGGGTTGTTGTTGTTATGTGCTGTCGAGTCGCTTGCGACTTAAAGTGACCCTAGGTACAACAGCCCTAAATTCTGCTCTGTCTTGTGCCAATTGCGCTGTCTCTTATTCCACTCCCAACCCGACTACCCCAGTCACCGAATCAATCCACCTCATAGAGGGCCTTCCCCTCCTGTGCTGTCCCTCCACCCTCCCAAGCATGATGTCCTTCTCCAAGGACTGGTCTCTTCTTTCAACATGTCCAAAGTATGTTAGATGGAGCCTCAGAATCCTTGCCT